ATAAAACATAGGAAGACATACTAATTGGAAGTTGGTGCAATCTAGTTTTTAACTTAATTAAAATATGTTGAATTTAAACAAGCATCAATTTAATGGCACCCTCCAGAAAAGAAAACTATGGTGAATGGAAGTCTTGGAGCAATTGGTGAATGATGCTGTCTAGTTTATAACACAAACATCTTACACAAACCTCTTACATTTAATTTTTCAAGTAGAATTTTATCTTTCTATTAATTTTTATGGTTAATCCATTATATATTTAAGTTAAATAGGCTACACCAGTGCTTCTGTCCAGTTATACATCAGAATATACAAGTGGTATACACTAAAATATACCAGTAATATATCAGGATCAGGGACTCTTTGCTGGGCTATATTCAGTACCAGAAGGATACCACAGTATAATGCTCCAGGCCTTATATTCTCTCTTCTCGCTTGCATTTGCACTTTGGAGGTATGCACATAAATAATTGTGAGCTTAGTTGTTGTGATGGATAAGAGTGGTGCTAGCCAACACTTAGTAACTAAAGGGTTAAACTCAGATAGCTAAGGGCTAAGAGCCACAAGGTTCTTAATTCATTTAAAAAGGCAGTGGGGAGACAAGGTGCGAGCCGGGACAGCTGATTTCTGGCTTGTGCCTGGTCCCCTGCTACACCTGTGACTCCACTGCCTCCTCACAGAGATGGTGCTGGGGAGGAGGGGAACTGGCTTTTAAGCCATCTCCCACCAGCACGGGGCTCCAGCTTCCCCTCCCTTGCTGCCTCTCTCTAATAGAGGCAGCAAGGGAGGGAGAAGTAACTAGTCGAATATGCATATGTTTATCGGATAGTCAATTAGTCATTTATATTCCTAGGTCCCCACCTTTTGCACTCAGAGTGCCAGAGAGGGACACAGCCCTCGTAGTTGTACAAAATACTTTTTTAATTTCTATAAATGAGGGCTCTGTGTACTTGCTTCGCTGTGCCTTTACAAATTATTTGTCTGAAAGCTACCCAGTAACTCCTGTTAAATATTAATGCTACCTCCATGTCCGATCACACAATATATCTGATATCAAGTGTCCATCAACTTCATTATAAATGGGAAGGCAGCAAGGGAGAACATTAGCAACTGTGCCAGGTAACAAGGTTGCTACAGAACTTTCATTTCTTAACTAGTAAGGTCAAAGAACAATCACAGATCCATATAAAAATCCATGTTTGTTTTAAAAGAAGATTTGAAAGGCTGTCTGCAGCAGATTGCAATGAAGAGACAGGTGTTCTAACGACTGTGATGGATGGTGTCAGCTTTAGAAAGCTCAGTCAATGGCAAGCTAATATGATGAATGCCTTAGCTTGAGTGAAGGTGATCACAAATAACATCATAAATATTTGCTCATAAAATCCCTGGGTAACAACAGTGTTTCTGTAACTTTCTATACATAATTTTACACATTTATCCCTTAGCTCCTTGAAATGTTATTCAGGGATATTATGGAACAAAGCAGAGCTACTGAAATTCAATCTACTTGAGTGATAATGCTCATTCTGAAAAGTACCAGCAGTCTTTGGTGTGGAGTTTACATACCGGACTATATGCTAGTCAGAGGATCTGGAAAACAAATCTGCCCATGCTAAACTTTATGCGCATGACTAATACCAACATCAACAGGGTTGTTTGCAGGAGCACGTCTTAAGTATTCTGGTGTGTGCAAACTTATTGCCAGCCTGCCTACCTGATAATTGCATCTCTAATTCATGATGACCTAGAGCAAGACTGAAACACAGGCCCTCCCTCAGGGAAAGGCAGCAAGCTGTAAGAAGCATTGTGGCTCCTTGAAGCAAATTACCACCCTGCACTGCCTGTGAAAAGGATCCCATTGGTCACACACCTTGTCCTTCCACACATCGGTCCTAGTAGCTGAGGCAGGAGCTCAGGCTTTGTTTTTCCTATCCCTTAGTAACCTGCATCTGGAAGCAAGGAGCAATTCTAGATTGCATAATACAGTCTAATAAGTTTGTGAACTAAAAGGCCCAATTTGACCTGTGAGATCATATTCTTCATAAACAATGAGGTGACTATGATGTATCCAGTGCTTTTACCTTATGAACATCTTAAAACATAGCTTGCTCGGAAGTAGATGGTGAAATATAAAGTTGTTTGTCACTGTGTTTTAAAGATTAAGTCTCTCATCCTAACTTTAAAATAATCCAGTGGCCTATGGCTGTGCAAACCATCTGATTGCATCTTCTGTATCTGATTCATGTAACATGAACACTCTAATTCACTATTTTTCACCCTTCCTTCTCTCCCCACCAAACCCTATTTATTTTGGAACTGGACTGTGAATGTGCCATTCATCTGAAGAAATGGGTTATACCCATGAAAGCTTATGATACCATCTACACATTTTGTTAGTCTTTAAGATGCTGCTAGACTGTTCATTGTTTTTTAAGTTTTGCTTTCTGTAGGTCATTTAGAAGGCAGTTTTCTGATAATGAAATCAACATCTACTTAAATTCTTTCAGCTGAAAATCTGTGCTTATCATTTTTAACATCCCAGCAGCTACAAGGCTAGTCTTGTCTTGAGTTATATGTATGTTTTTGTCTCCATGTCCTAAAATCGCTATTTTGTGTACAGATACAAATTACAAAGGAGCATAACAAATAACACGTGGCTCAAATTTCTGTTTCATTGTAAATGAGAAAACCACAGTGGAAAAAATGTCCTAGATTGCTGCTATTCTGCTACAAAATAATTCAATTCAGTTTAGTCCTAATACTTTATTGTTTGTAAATTAGATTAACTAGTACAATCCCGAAGTCAGGTTTTAGGGATAAATTCCATCAATTCCTTCCACCGGGAGGATGGATCTTACACCTGTTACTCACCCATGGATGAATGAATGGATCCTTATTTACAATTCTTCCCAAGTCTGCTATGATGAGGTTCTGCTGAGGTTTCACACCAATGGGGCTGTGGCTTGCGGCTCCTCTCTCCAATTCTGGCAAGTCAGCTTTACAGCAGCTTCACTGGAAGAGCTTTTTCTCCTTACTTCTCCAGACCTCCTATGAAGGGGGATTTCACTGTTTGGAGCAGGATGTGGAAAATCTGGTGGTGTCTTTTAGGTGGAATTTCCATTTTGTGTTGAAGAAAAACCGCATAGCCCACCCACGTGACTCTCAGCCTGCATTCTTCCTTCCCAGTCTTTGTGTGGTACCCCAAATGGGCAGGAAAGGGGTAAAATGGTGATGGGGCCATGGCTTATCCTGACACCTTCCAATACACCAAGATAACAGAGACTGGATGCCCCTGATGTGGAGGTGAGGAAGGAAGTATACTGTAAACTTTATTTGCCCAGGACTCTCTTGGAAGCAGAACTAATCCCTAAACTCATGCACTGGCTCCATTCCAACTTTTACACTGGGAATTGTGTCATTTGCATGCACATATGCTGTGGCAAAAACAATGAAACAAGTTTGGGTTTTCTTTGTTTTTTCCAAAGTATTTTCACAGGTAAAACTGTGGGTTGTTTCTAGTTAGGATGTAATTTTGTTAAGAGAAAGCTGTGATAAATGAAAGCTATGACCCTTAAGCTTCCTGCTCTATTCCTATGTCATTTGACTAAGTTAAAGGTATCTTGTTTCTAAAAGAACATTTTCAATTTATGTTCAGTTCATAAGCGAAAGGCTTTTTGACCATACCCTGTGTTCATGCTCGTGTAAATCTGCTGAAGGCAGTGAAGTTATACTGTGACACATGCTGACTAGTGGAGTGCTGATGCAGGAGAAATGTGGAACATCAAACTCTGGGCCAAACTCTCCCCTGAGATACCCACCATACAACTGTACTGATTCAACATTTTGTCCTTTATCAAGAGAATTTCTCAGCTTTGATTAGAAAATACATATATTGCTAGGACACACAACCCATCCATCGGTAAAACCAGTGAAATAAGCATAAGACATGAGGATATATGTTAGATCATTTACAGAAATTAAACAGCTTCTTTCTTCTTTGGCAAAAATGATTAAATCAAGATTACAAGATGCATTGCTTGTGTGTCTTGTAGGTCCCCTCTGGAGAATCTGGAACCAAACCTTTGATCTTCACATTTGTTCCATCTATCGGACAACTTCCAACTCATTTTCAGGTTGTAGATGTTTCTAAACTCCTGGTGAAAGCTTCAGAGGAGCCAAACAATGAAAGCAGTCAAGACATTTTAAATAGGGTAAGATTTTATATTGACTTAGTTTGATATTTATTTGAAAGCTATGGAAAAGTCTTCCTGACCATCACTGAACAGTTCCTCCTTAACCTCTTCCCTCTTGGTGTTTGATTGTAAATTCCGGGACCACCAGAAAAGCAGCCACACTGTATACATGGGAACATGGGAATTGTTATAATGGAGCAGACTGGTCTGCTAATAAGGTATTTTGCCTTTGGTAGAATTGATACCTGAAGCAAACCACTCCCTATCTCTATAATGTGTTCTTCCCATTAGGTGATGATATATCATGATGATGTGATGAGGGTGGGAAGGAGACAAACATAAACATTTGAATATCACACTGGAAAGCACCAATAGTAAGTCACAGAATCCTGCCTTCAGCAATGGCCACCATTGGATGCGCCACACCAAGATGCCAATTTCCACAGTTATTCTAATTGTGCAAAACTACTGTGGGAAGATTTACATTTCTTCTATTCTGAAACCCCTACGGTTGAGACAGGTGCTCCACACTATAAAAGGGGAGCTCACAGGAAACAAGTATCCTTTGCTAACTTGGAAAGCTGATATTAGTAAGACATGGCCTCTTCGCAGTTTAGTGGTTACACTTTAAAGCAGGGCTACTCAAAATACCTCCCATTTGTTTGCAGCCCGTAGGTGGGAGCCAAAACAAAAGAGTAGTCCATATAATGGTCTTCTATTGATATGTGTGTTAGTAGTTAAATTCCTGGACTGTCATTGCTCGTTAAAAGTGCTGTTATATGGGTGGAAATAAGGTAAATATTACATTTTATCGATATCAGCAGAACTGACTTAAATGGGGCCTGTGTGTTGTGTACGCTTGCCTTCATCTTTGTATTCATGCCTGTCCATGTGAAAGAAGCTATTTGCATATACTTGCATATATATTTGCATATACATGCAATCACACTTAAGTTGCAGTCCTTGGCATAAGCTGTGAGTATCATTATGGTTCCCGGGGCTTCCAAAGTTGAGTAGCCCTGCTTTAAAGTCTTATCTCCTGAAGGCCAATGTCTCATGTAACTTTTGGATTTAGCTGGTATAACCACAAATGTTCCTCTTGATCGTATATGGATACTTTAAAAAAAATGCTGCTACACTATTTGCCTCAGTGATTTCCTGTGATAGTGAATTCCCCAGGCTGACATTACACTGAAAAGGAAAATATTTCTTTTCATTCATTCCTGCATTATTTGAAAGCATAATTATGATCCTCTGACTAATTTCCATGACTGCTTTGTATGGTCCTTTTGGTCTTGGTGCTTCAAGTCCTTGTATGCTGCATAGCAGGGAATGCATTTTGGTGTTACACTGGTTTAAATAAACATAAACCACACATGGGGGCAAGTAATATGCAATGCCAGTAACAGTTCCTGAACTGAATGGCGGTCTCAAGCACTTTGAATATCTTTTCCCCAGAGCACAGCATTAAAAAAAGCAGTTTAATGTAGACAGAGAATGGGTGTGTTGGAGGAGGATAAGTTTAGGTTGCAAATAGTTACTGCTCCTTTGGTCATGTCACTGCTGCTAGAAGTTCCTTTAGTAAAGCAGACTCAAGTTGCCCTGATTTCTGTGTCCATTTATCACATTTCAATATTTTCTTATAAAGGCAGCACTCACTTATGCTGAGCAGCATTAAGAGCTTTGTACCTCCTTTTATTCTAATTTCCAAGTTGAGCGTGGCCAAACCTTTTCACAAGTGAATCACTCTAGTTCATATTTAGGCATCTAAACAAATAGCCTGATTTTTTGAAAGCGCTAATTTCCCTTTTTCATTGCAGTCGGTGGGAATCTAACTCTGTAGCATGCCCATCATAGAGCATACATATGGAAGCCCTATCAGTAGGATTTATTTCATAGTCCGGTCCTCTGCCTGATCCCTCCTCCTAGGGAAAAGAATACATAAATAGCTTCAAATATTGGAGGACGCAGAAATGTGTGTGACATATGCAAAGGATAACACTACTGCTGCTTTTATCCAAAGGGCACTTGCAGGGGTAAATACTAGAAACTGAAAAAAGCAGAATATTATCTGCTATAAAAAAAAACCCAATTGTGCTTTGTGCTAAAATGCTTACCCTTTAACGTACAGTAATACTCCCTGACCTCAGATTCTTTTGTTTCCTCTTTCCAGAAAATGCCCTGGATTCAGGTCCTTTGTTTCTTTGTTGCTATCTATGGATATTGCCCCAGATTTCTCTGTCAGATAGTTGAGAGGTATTGTCTGCTTTTGTGGATCCCACAGTCAGAATTCCAGCCCCATCATGTCTGCTTTAGGCTGGCCTCATAGCTCATTCTGCTTGACTGCCCCCTCCCATCCTGCCTCTCAAATCCCAACCTCAAATTCAATCTCTCATTTTGATGTGAGTCTTCCAGTTCTGTGTTATGTTGTTAGAAAGACAACAAGTGTCTCCCTTCATAACAGACTTAATGTATGGCCAGTGTGTTGGCGGAGGGAAGGTGCTGGGAGTGGGAAAGCATGCTAGTGGAACACTGAAACAGCTTGCTTCTGTCTCTCTGAAACATCCAGCTGAGGCTGGAGCCTTGAGAGCTTGGCTTCTCTTCAGGGAGACTGGTAGCATAGTCCCCAGCTAGTGCTCCAAGCTAAAGGTTCCTTCCTTTTTTAGGGAGAGCAACTAATATTCAGATAAACTAGAATTTATTTTAATGTGTTTTACAGCCTACCATAGCCTCTGATAACCTGGCCTTAAAAAGTGGAATCAGGCAAGACAGTGAATCCATCTACCACGCAGGCATCTACCAGAAGATTTTCCAGCCAAAAGGACATAACACAAATAAAGGAGACATGCAGGAGAGTGACCTTTTCAAGGCTGAGTTTGTCTTTATTACAGACTCTGATGATGGAGATGAAGAGAGTGTTCTCCAAACCAATGTTAAGCAGCCTTCCATAGGTCTTGGCACTGGGCATGTGAGGTGTCAATTATTGGCTACATCCCACATTTCTTCTGGTGAGGAGTCAAGCAAACCTCTTGGTGACTTGAATGTTCCTGGGACACAATGTTCTGTGCTGTCTGACCGTGATACCGGTCCCTCAAAACAACACCAGGTATGTTTTTATTTAAACTCTTGTGTGTAGGTATGGGTGTTCCTGTCAACTTTCACTTGTCATCTCTTTTGTGCTGTGGTCATCCAATTTAGCTTGGGATGGGATGTTGATTGCTGGCTGCTTTTTGTGGATGATTAGTAACTTCTCCTTTTTGCCATAGTTAGTAGCTCTGCATTTCTAGCTAAAAGTGGGAGGTAATGTATAAAGGGAGTAGGGATGGAATTGAGTAGCTGATGCAGATCTGTTAATCTTTTTCTTCTCACCGCTCCGATCTATTGAACACAACACAATCAAAAGGCGTAGGGTTAGATTCTCAGCATGTGAAAATTGGCACAGTTCCATTGAAATCAACAGATTTTGGAGATATGCAGATTTACACTTTGAAGTTTATGCAGCCATTTATATCTATAATTGAGTGTTGTTTTGCATTGGTTTTTGCATGGATGTAAATGACAACTCCAGCTGCAACGCCCATTTTGTGGGCTTGTCTTCACTGCAACGGTTAGTATGTGTGAGTTACTGCGCTTGAGCTAACTCAAGTGAGAGTGAGCCCACTTCAAAACTTTAACACTTGGAGTTAAAAATAGCTATTGGATTAGCAGCACAGAATGACTGGATTAGCAGAGTGATTAGACTGGATTAGCTGCGGATGAGTTGTAACTTGAGCCACAGGACACTCTTCTCCCATTTTCCCATCCCCCACTGGCCAGCGAGTTTGAGTTCAAAGCACTACTTAGCTCATGCTATGAATTGGTTTGTGTGGATGGGAGTCGAGTTAAGGGTAACTCTCTAGTTATAACTCAAGCTAACTGTGCTGTGATGACCCACCCTCTGATATCCAGTATACAGAACACGATTTTATACTGGGCAAAATTTAGGACTCTAGAGAAAAAATAAACAAATGGTGCTGACAGTTGATTTTATTTTGAGACAGGTGAAATAGAATGAGAAGGTGAGTACAAAAATAAAATAAAACCAGTGGCTTTCTCTGCCTGACAAAACGAATAATTCTGGATGTCCAAGGCTCAACTCCTGATGTCCTTATTTAGTTCTTATTCAAATTCCCCATGATCTCAATGTTCTCATGTGACTGAGTAAAACTTGAAGAAAGGAGCTTAGGATATGATCTCCTAACATGAGGAATTATTCATTGGATATGCCCAGTCCCAGTGAAGTCAATGGAAGTATGATGTGGGTAGACAAACCCTGGCAACACATCAGCTAATGTATGCTGAGGCAGCTCTGCTGAAGAGCATCTGAGAGAGATGTCAGTATTGAAGACGGGAGCTTAAAAGGGAAAAACTAAGCTTAGTTAGTGGTACCTTAGTCAGGAGAGCAGGTCTCTGGCCCTCTGGTCATGGACCAAGTATAATGCTGACAGGCAGAACTGAACCTGGGACCTCTGGAGCTTAATGCATGAGCCTCTCTAGCCTGAACTAAAAGCTAGGTGGCTCTCCACTAAGGCCATAGAACACACTCATTCTTTCTCCCTGTAAGTGGTTTCAGTGCCACTACATGGGACAGTGAACCACACTCAGTAGGTGTGTGATATACAAACACTGGCTAAAGGCAAGAATTCCTCAGATGAACACTGCCGGGAGAGAGAGGAACTCTTATGGATCCATCTGTGATGTGACTTGTTTTATGGTACGGGAACTTAGCGTGGCCCACAGATTTTCAAAAGCATTGCGAGGGATGAGAGCTTTACCACATCTGTGGAATGATTTGTTGGTGTGTGTTTGACAACTCCCAAGAGGATAAGTTATCTGGGCCTTTGTCAGAGGACAAAGCCTTGTAAGACTTGATTGGCATACAGGACCACTAGACACCACAGAACAGTGGCTTGGGGTGAGGCTTGGGACTTTACCCAGGGCCTAGGAGGAGGTATCCTGGTGCAGGGACCCTGATAACAGGGAGTTTTGCCTGAGAAAAGAACAAAAGATTTGGTCTTCGGAGAGGCAGCTTACAAGAAATGAAAGATTTAGAAAATGAAAATTCAGTTGTGGTACTTTGAGTCCACATAGATTGTGGAAGAATTAGTTAGGAATTTTCTCCAGTAGCTGCTATCAAATATATGGCAAAGCTTTTATAAAAGAAACAGAGAGGAATATATGTGCTGTAGTTTCTTAATGAGTTTTTGATGGTCTGACAAGTAATAGAAGACTTGTTTGCCAGTGTATGGGAAAAATGGAACCTCTGGCCTTCAGTACAGAGTTTGGAAGAATTCAGATAAAGTCTGTTAAACTGTATTAATCTTATATCTGAGTTTATTATAGGGTAAATGTGTACTATGCCTGATATGCATGCCCCAGGTGTACACCTTCCTAAGTCATTGTTCTAAAAATGCATGGCAGACAGATGAACTTTCTGTATGCCTTCCATCTGCTTTATTTTTTAAATATTTGTTGCCTGTATGTGATAAATACAATATATTTTGACTAAGATGCTTTTTTCTGGTGTTCAAAGTCCATCTCTACTGAGCCCTTCTCAGTATTTCTATGGTAAATCTCTCTTAATGGTTTAGTATTAATGGAGTCACAAAACCTAAAACAAAGGAAATTAGGCTTTAATGTAACAATTTAAAATTGGTACATTACTTATATCAGGCAGGGTGACATGCGCCTGTAATCCAAGATGTTTTGAAGGTTAAGGGGGGTAGATCACTAAAACTCAGGAGTTTTGGGCTGAGTTTGTGCTATGCCAATTGAGCGTCTGGTGCCACTGGCAGTCTGGTCACAAATGGCTGAAGGACTGGCTAGAACAACATGTTATGGTGCTCTCTCTCTGAGGGCTGAGGGACCTCTCAGATAAAGTGATGTTACTTCTCTGCTAGTAAATTTACTGGTTTTATCCACATGGGAATCTTCTCTTTCATAGGGGTCTACATTGCAAAAGGATCTTGATTACAAAATCAACATCACGGTGACTGTACATGTACTACATTGGTTTAAAAGAATCTAGCCCAGCAGTTACTTCACACCATCAAAATCTCTCACATTTGTTTCCTGTCAGTGGGGGAAGGAGGACAGTGACTGACACTGAAGTAAATAGATGTTCTAACCACCCATGGGGAGACTTAACTTGCTTGACCAATGCTCCTGGAAAATTGATGTCATATTCAAAGTATGAAAAGTAATTCAGTATTTCAAATTTAATAATATATTAGTTACCACTTCTTCTGCTGCCTTCACTTCTTGTGAGGCAGCTCTGGCTGCTGAAGTAGCTGGGAATCATGTAGCAGGCAGTTATCATAAAGCAGCCAGTTCTCTCCTTTTTCTCATCTGTAACACTCATGCTCCACCCACATGGCATAATGGAGTTTTAGATCAATTAGAAGCTGCTAGATATAAACTCCCATTTTAAAAAATTACTGAGATCAAATGTTTAGTGACTAAGGAGGAGCAAACAAATAATGTTCCATGTTAAGTGATGATTGATGGCAGATGCACATAATACCACGAGGTGGCTCATCCTTTGCACCATGCCTGGAGAGAACATGCCCTCATTTTCCCCCTTGTGCCTCTCTGCAAACCCAGTCACCTTGTGACAGAGGGTATAGGTTCTTCCACAGCCTTTCAGTATTTGCCAGTGAAGCTGGTCATTGATAGATGGGTGTGAATGGTGCACTCTCTCTTTGTACAGCATCTTGATTTAGGCTATAATCTAGCCCGGCGGGAGGGCAATAAAAAAAGGCAGCCTGCAGGGTTAGTCCCAGGCATCTGCCACTATGTTTTCCTGCGCCTCTGCAGGTATCAGAGGATCACAGCTCTGGTTGGCTGCAATTCACCATATGTGGCCAATGCAAGCGGCGGGAAGTGTCACAGACCGGGATGCTACTTCCCACTACTTGCATTGGCCATGCACGGTGATTGGTGGCCAATCAGAGCTGCGATCCTCCAATACCTGCGGAGGCTCAGGTAAACAGGGAGGGTGATGGGCCTGCCGGGGACTAACCCTGTGGACTGCATCTGGCCCATGGGCCGGAATTAGATAAAAAAAGACACAATAATCTGTAGATGATCAGCATTCTTGATTTGGTTCCCATGATGTTTCTAAGGATCTGCTTTTCATATTGGCTATTCCTTCACAGACACAATGAAATTTACAAGAACAGTCACTTTTCGGGGAAATATAGTTTCAGTATCAGATCTCTGTGTTTGTGTTTGGGTGATCTACATGGAAATCCTGAGTTATCATGCTGGATGTCTTTTTCTGACCCTATTATGACTCGGGAGTGCATGAAAATAGGGAAGATGCAGTCTGCTTCCATGCTCCCACCTTGTATAAGAACCTCAGAGAAACTAACCTCTAAAGTAAAAGATGACTTCTCGTTATGGCATTGAATTTCAGGTTAGTAGTCTCACCAACAGTTGTGGTAGGCCATAGTTTGTCTGGTGCAAACTTTCTTTAAAAGTGCGAATGTTTATGTACTAAATACACACACATCATATTTATATGCGCATATTTTGAACTCACTTATAAATATAATTATGGAAAACATAAAAAAAACCACCAAGGTGCCAATCAAACAGCAAAGTGTTGCTTCAACTAGATTAAGATGCTTGAAGTAGGAGACATATTTTATGTTTGTAAATTACCAAACCCATTGCTCACTAGATGATAAAATAGTAAGAAGCAACCCTAGCACCAGGTGACATTCTTCCCTCTAAACTGCTACTGAACTAGTTTCTTATCCCGGTGAAAGCACAGTGCTGCAGGACGTGCTGTGTTTAGCATGAATTAATTAAAAATTAAGACCTGATCACTTCTAGTACCCGATTCTCATTTACACAAAAGGTTGATAGTTCTGGCACTGTAGAGAGGCATGAAAGAGAGGATGTTGGCACTTATGAAAATGGGAGCAAAATACACCTACACTCATTTTAAGGCCTGATTACAGTGTGGTGCAAAGAATCTATTATGCAAATGAGAATCAGGCTCCTGATCTTTAGAGTTCCAATAATGTACTTTCTGCAAGAGATGGGGTGATAGCCCTAGTGTTCCAAGTAAATTACATTTTCCTATACGTACCGTCAGTCCTCTCTTTCTACATTTCCTCAATATATTCTGCTTTTCTTCCTTTTAATACTTAAGTGTTGTTTGGCAGTTGCCACAGTCCACCTGAGATAAAGCAAAGTGTGACTTGATCTATATACACATTCAATGGTCACCTTTTAAAAGTGAACAATAGCTACTGCAGAGTGTCACGGTTTTCCCCTGTACTTAACATAGAAATACAATAACTGTCAGAACTTGCTGACTTTGTTTTAACCAATCTGTTTTGTATTTAATTCTTTTCAGCAATAACAATAGAATATAGACATGGTGCTCACTGGAGATAAAGAATCTAGTGTAGGTATAGCAGCTTTCTACATGCTTTCCCATTGATAAAGGACCTAGTCTTGTTCCTATGGAAACTATCGGAAGTTGTTCCAATGACTTCAGGGAAAGGAAACAAGATCAGTCCAGAAGTTTTTTTTAAATGGTTTGGGACCATCAGGAATGAAAGATGTTCTATCTACCTTAGATAATATTAATATTTAGAAGTAATAGTTAATATTTGAAAGGAGATGAATAATGTGTAGAAATTTTGTTATAAGAACTGAACAACTGCCCACAAACCACCTCCTCCTTATTTGTCCAAAACAAATGTTAAGCAGCAGTAGTTATTCAAGTGTGGAATGAAACAAAGATGATTTTTATTTTAATTGCAAGTCCAGCAACTTCTCAACTAATTATTTGACAATTCTAAACCACATGGATTAAATCTTCAAGTAATTACTCAGGAAGGTCATTGCCTGACTAAAAGGATTGCCTAACATCAGTAAATTCATGGAGAATCTGTAAAAAAGAGCAAAAATTGTTCCTGTCCATAAAATCTGTTTTTTTTTAAAAAGCATCCAAGAAAACCCAAACAAAAACCAAAAATAAATGTAGATGTTAGTAAAAAATTAGCTTTGCAGCTCCACAGAGTCTGCAATTCCTGGGGCAGGGGTGAAGAGGGGAACTCTCCTGGCAGGTATGCATCCAGCACATACCCCTGCAGGGCTCCCTGGGGCTTGTTGGGAGGGGCGGGGGCAGGGAGTAGGGTATGGTGGGTCTTGTGTATCAGCCTTTTACATGCTCCCCACTGATAAGTCACAGCTGGGTGGTCACTGGTGGAGTCCCCCATGCCCTGGTAGGGTGAATGGCTATTGGGTGTCCCCTCCCAGGGTGGGAGGAAGGCCTGGAGAGGCGATGGTTTGGGCCAGGAAAGGGGGAGAGCAGTCATTGGAACAGGATTGTATCCTCATGCCTGACCAACATGCTGCGGGTCTAGTTGCATGTGTTGTGGGCTGACTCAGTTTGCTGTCTGGGTTGGAGTTTCATGGGTGTCATTACTGTCAGCAGCTGAGAGACTAGAATCTTGTGATGTATGAATAAAAACATTCATTTTTGCCCTTTGGAGCCATTTTTATATTACTTAAGAATGTATCTGTAAAAAAGTTTGGTTGCCCATAAGTGTGTTCTATACTG